AATTTTTTTTTTTCCTTTACTTTATTTTTTTTATCCAGTAAAAAAAAAAAGAAAAATCGATAAAATCCATAGGATTTATGCGAATTTGTTTTTTTCATTTGTAGTAACAAATAGTCAATACTTTTCCAGTTTTTCTTATCCCTTTTTTTTAAACAATTAATTCCAAAAGTTTCCTGGAACGAAAACAAACGGAATCGGTTTCCATCGGGTACAAATGTAATTACGTCGTCGTCGTCGCATAAAAACGGAAACGAAAGGAAATTGAATAACTCCGGGTAATTTGTTTTTTTGTTTGTAAAAAAAAACAATTAAAAGCGAAACGAGTTTCCGGTCTGGATAAAAAATAATAATAATAATAATTGTTAACTTACTTCTACGTATTTTTGTTTTGCTCCGTAACCGACGTGTTTTCTTCCAAGTTCCTTAAGGAGAGTTTCTAATTTTTCTGGTTCGTGAAGTCTGGCAACAGCTTTTTGTACGAAAGCCATGACCCTATAAATAATAATAATAATAATAATAATAATAATAATAATAAAAACTTTTCTTAATTTTCGTCCTTTTCCATCCGGTCAATTTAACGAATGTAAACATGGCGTTGGTAGTACTTCCGGCGGTTTTTTTTTTTTCCCAAAAAATTCAAACGCGTCTCGTGTTTTGACACTTCCGCCGGTTAATTTCTTTCGTAAAACGATGGAAATTTTACGGGGGAAAATTTTTTTTTTTTTTGTTTACGATTTGTAAACAAAAACAAATTTTTACCGGATACGGCACTGAATTTAAAAAAAACATTAAATTATTTCGCACGGTTTCGCGTAAATAAAAATTTATGTGTACGAAATGAATTGTTAACGGTTAAATTTTTATTTGATTTCTTTTTTATTATTACTCTTTCTCTTTCTCTCTCTCTCTCTCTCTCTCTGTTTTTTCTATCACTTCCGTTTCCTTATTTTTTTTATCGACCTATATATTTTTTTTTTTTTCCAGATATTTCTGTTAAGTTTCAATTCTTAGCAATTAAAAAAAAAAGAAATTTTTTTTCTCGCTGTTGTTGTTGGTGTTGTTGCTCATTCGTTTTTCACAAATTTTTTTATTGTTCAATTTATTTATTTTAACGAGTAGCTGGTTTTCGCATTAAAAAAAAAAAGAATGGTCGTTAAATTTTTGTCGTTTTTTTTTTTTTTTTACAACTTTGAAATCCTAAAGTGTTTTATTAAAAGAGAGAGAGAGAGGGAAAGAAAATTTAGAAAACATAAAATAAAATTGTAGAATGGAAAAAAAAAGAAGAAGGGGAGGGAATGAATGAAATAGAGGAAATGAAAGTGAGAGAGAGAGAGAGAGAAAGAGAGAGAGACAGATAACGGAGGGAATAAAAGAAAGAGAAAGAGAAAAAAATTAAAAAAAAAAATATAACAAAATTGTCGAATGGAAAGAAAAGCAAAAAAGAAAGAATGACTGAGGGAATGAAAGAGAGAAAATGAAAGTAAGAGAGATAACAGAGAGAATGAAAGAAAGAGAGAGAAAGAAAAAGAGGAAAAATTAAAAAAAAAATAACAAAATTGTAGAATGGAAAAAAAAAAGAAGGAGAGGGAATGAATGAGAGAATGAAAGTGAGAGAAGGAGAGAGGGAGATAACGGAGGGAATGAATGAAAGAGAAAGATAGAGAGAGAAATAAAGAGGAAAAATTAAAAAAAAAAGAAAATAACAAAATTGTAGAATGGAAAAAAAAGAGAAAAAGAGGGAATGAATGAGGAAATGAAAGTGAGAGAGAGAGAAAATTAAAAAAAAATTTGCTTTTATTCAGGTTTTTTTTTTTTTTTTTATAAACGCTTTAATGAAAATGGTTCTCTTAATCCCGACAGGATTTTATTTCTTTTTTTTTCTTTTTTTTTTTTTGAATTATTTAATTTTCTGTTGATTTAAAATTTCGCGGTAGGGGAGGGCTAGGAAGTAGGGGGTTAGGGAAAAAGGGGGCGAAAAGAAAATTCTATAAAATGTTATGCTATGATTTCTTTTTTCCCTCATTCGTTCATTCATTCATACATTTTTTTTTTTTTTTTATATTCCACGTATAATAATTTTATTTAAGGTTTTGATAAAGTTGTAAAATTTTCCTTTCATCTTTTTTTCTTCGCTGTCGTAAATTTAAATTTATTTTACACTCTATTTTACTAGTACATTCTCGCAAAAGTTTTTCTACTTTTCACCTGACGTTTACCTGTTTTTAAAATAACGTCTGGAATTTATTATTTAACCGCTGTCGTCGTCGTTTCAACACAACCCACAACAACAATTTTTACCAAAAATTTTTCTTTTCGAACGCAATCATGACGCACAAACGTAAAAATATTTAAAGTATTCAAATGCGATGATACGAAAAACGGATACGGAAGGGGATGCGTTTGTATGTGCGTGCAGACGACGCAAAACAAATCGTTGTCGTTTTATATAATGAATAATAATAATTAATTTGAAATTTTACGCGCGGATGTTAATAAAAAAAAACTATTCAAAGCTTTTAAACCTTTTAATATGTAATAAGAAGGTGACGTAGGTGCGTGAGTGCGTGAGTGTACATAAAACTTCTTACCTCAATGCGTGTGCACGAAGTTGTTTGCTGTGTTTTAAATCTTCTATATCAACTCCGCTGAACGACATGAATGATTCCTGAACGTCAGGATGAGTTTCGAACAAGCTAAAAATTCAAAAATAAAATTTTACTAGTTAAAAAAAAAAAAATGGCGGACGTTTAACATGTTTACGTACGTGTGTTTTTCTCTCATGACAACAACACGCGTTAAACGCTTCCGTTTTTACATCATTTCTCATTGTTTTATTAAAAAAAAAAAAAAAGGCTTGCAATAACGTGACGACAGTAATAATAATAATAATAATAATAATAATAATAATTGCAGTAGAATTTTCCGAGTAATTAAAAACACGTTAAAAAAAACATAGATTTTTAAATAAAACAAACAAAATGGCGTCGTCGTTTATTGAATTTTTTTTTTATTTTTTTTTTTATTTATTTATTAAAAATTTTAATAACGTCCTTTTTAAATAATAATAATAATAATGATAATAGAGGAGGGAAATTAACGTTTTAATGAGGCAGGGGGAAGGGAAAGGGTGGGGGAAATATGAAAATGTAAAAAAAAATATTAAATTAAACGATAGAAATTACACACACATGCACACACAGATCGTGCGGTTTGTTTGTTGTCGTGTTTACATATTTACATCATTTTATCACGTTTTATGTTTTTATGTTTTTATGTTTTAAATTATTACGGGAAAAAAAAACACGTTCGAATTTGTTAAAATCGAATTACGATTGTTTAAATCGAAAAAAAAAAAAAAGAAAGTTTAATAATCAAATCGAAATCTCTAACGGAAATGACGAAATAATTTTTATGTCATAGGATAAGAGGAGGGGGGAGGGAAAGGGGGAGGATTTATTTTCGTTCCCCGTTAAAAAAATTTTTTTCCTTAATAAGAAAAAAAATTTTTAAAAAAAAAAAAAAAAACCGAATTTAAATCAATTTAACTCAATCCTGTCAAAAAAAAAAAAAAAAATTTTTTTTCTTTGCTTCTTATCCAGTTTTGATATCATCTAAAAAATTACAAATTATTATTATTATTATTATTTTCGGAGAAAATTTTTATTAATAACAAAAACTTTTAGTTTAATATCAACGTTTGACGTTTTTTTTTTTTTTTTTTTTTCTGTTTCCATTTTTCTTTTGACACGAATGACTGATTTTCCAGGTAAAAATCGTTCGTTTTTTTTTTTTTTAATAAAAAAGAAAAATGACCTGGAATTTTTTTTTTTTTTTTAATATTTTCCGACAGAAATATCTTTTTTTTTTTTTTTAAAACGATAACGACAGGCAGGTTGACGATGGGGAAAAAAAAAATTTATTGACCGCCATTTTTATTTTTATTACCCTTTCTACTAATTAAAATTAATAATTTTTATCGAGGGAAAAAAAAAATAATAATAATTAAATATTAATTAACAATTTAGTTATTTTTTTTTATTAATAAAAATTTGCGTGAATAACGTTTAAAAAAATATATAAATATCAACTTCCGGTTATAGACAGGTACGCGAATTTCTTTTGATGACGTCAAAATTAAAAAAATATTTTTTTCGATCTTTCTCTCTATCTCTTTCTTAACAACAAAAATTTACGCGCCGTTTCACAATTTAAAATAAAGTCAAAATATAAAGGCCTTGTAAAAGAGAAGGGGGAAATAAGAAATATGGGGGGAAGAGGAAGGGGAGGAGAAAATGGAAAAACCTCAGAATAACGTTGAAAACAACTAACTAATGGCGGATTTTATTTTATTTTATCAAAAATATTATTATTTACATGTAATTCATTCTGTTGAAATATCAAAAATCTTTTTCATTCACTCTAGAAAACAACCTTATCATCATCATCATCATCATCCTTTTCTTTAAATTTCCTTTTCATTCGGATAAAATTATAAACCAGAATTTGTAAATTTAGGAGGAAGAATAAGAAAAAGAAAAAGAAAAGGGGAAAAAAGTGGGGGGAGGGTTTAAAAGGTTATACGAATTCCTCCTTTTCCCTTTTAATTCCTTTCTTTTTGTTTTAAATTTATTTTACAAAATTTTCTCGGGTTCATTTAAATAAATTAAAATTTTTTTTCTTTTTAAATCACCCCTCCCCCTCCCCTCCCCCTTCGATTCTTTCGTACGAATGAATTTTTCTTTTTTGTTTTTGCGACAGACAAAAAAATTTTCCGACGATTGGGGGAAAAAATTTCTTTTTTTTTCACAAATGTTTTAAAAATGATTTCGGTGCAATAATAAAAACAAAAAAAAATTTTTCTTCTTTATCGATGACGTAACAGTTCGTGACGTCATTAAAAAATATAAATAAATAATAAATGCTTTTTTAAGCGCGAAAATTTCAAACTGTGAAAAACCATTAAAATAAAAAAAAAAAACTTTTCAAGTAGGCGGTGTGCGATTTTTATTGCAAAAAAAAAAAAAAAAAGAATTTGGACGACGGCGGGGAAAAAGGGATGGTGGATTGCGGGGAGAGAGAGAGGGTGAAGGGGAGCGTAAAGGTCAAATATTAAAAGGTTGACGTCATTATAATAATAATAATAATAATAATAATAATTTCAGGTAGTTTAATTTATGTTTTGTTTTTTTTTAAAGTTTTTTTTTTACCCTCATTTTTTCCAGGATAGGATAATTCGAAATTTTTTTTTTCCCCGGGATGGGGGGAGGAGTTTGGCAAAGAAATTTGCGTAAAAATTTATGGGAGGGGGGCAGGTGCAAAAAAAAAGAAGGGCAGAAAATAAAACTAAATTGAGAAAGAGAAAGAGAGAGAGAAAGAGAATGTAACGAGTTTTCGAAAATTGAATTTTTTTATTTACGGTTAGGACTCGAAAGAAAAACTTTTCTCGTCCGATTTTCCAAAAGGTAGTAATAGTAATAATAATAATAATAATAATAATAACGATAATAAAAGATGTTTTCGTCGAGCTGTCGGAAAATTTTTTTCGCTTCGAGATTCGGTAAAAATTTTATGTTAAATAAAAGGAAATGTCCGTGATTGATTGACGTTTTTTAAAATTTTTTTATACCAAACGCATAAAAATTAATAATGGAAAAATAAATAAAAAATTTTCCGTTATACAATATTCCGACGCCATTTTGTTTTTATCCAGTACTTTATTTATTTATATTTCCACCATTTTATAAATGTTTATAACAAAAATGTCGTGGGCGACGGGAAAATATTTAACGATTTATTACTCTTCAGAGTAAAAAAAATTTTTTTTTTTTTTTTACTTATTAAAATTTAATAAAATGTTTAACATAATAATAATAATAATAATAATAACGGTGCGATAAATTATCGTGTCGCATTCAGTGTTGCCAATGGACAAAAATGTTAAAAATGTAACCATTCGAATTATTGTTATTTTTATTTTACCTGACAAATGTGATGACTCCGACTTTGGCTATGTTTTCTTCTAACTCCTTCCACGTTTCAATGAGTAATTCTTTTTCTCTCGTCGTTAATTCTGGAGGTCTTTGTTCTTCCAGTACTGGAGAACATTGATCGGGTTTTGATGATCCAACGTCAAAAGAACCTCTCGAACGAAACGAAAGGGAAGATCTGGAAAAAACAATCGGGTTTTTTTTTGTTCCCCTTTTTCGTGCAAAAAATTAATTTTTAGGTTGATGTATGACGTCCCCCGCAAGCAATTCCTTTTTTCCTTTTTTTTTCCAGGGGAATGACTTTCGATGAGGAGTAAAATCCTTATCGATAAAAGTTAAGCGGGACGTAAAAAAAAATTTTCCTTTTTTCAAGACTGATAAAAATGTCGTTGACCCCACCTTTTCTTATCACGACTCATCAAATTTTACACCGCGTTTTCTACGCGTAGACTTGATTTAAAAAAAAAAAAAAAAAAAAAAAAAAACGTTCGCGTTTTTTTCAATTCGATCGCGAGTTAATAATGATGATGATGATACATAATAATAATAATAATAATAATGATTTTGAGATTAAAATTAAAAAAAAAATGTCGAGAAAAATGTTTTTCGGAAATTTCCAAAAAAAAAAAAAAAAAAAAATTTTTACGACGTTTTTATTGATAACGATAATGGCGAAATTATGTTTCCGTTTATATCCGCCGGAAGTGGTTTTAAAGAAAATTTTCTTTTTTATTGTCACATTCTCCCGAAAAATGTTTTACATAATATTTTGAAAATTCTATAAGTTTTCCTTTCTCTTTTCTCTTTTCCCTTTGTCTCTCCCCCCTACTCCCCCACTCCTCACTCGTGACCTTGACCTGAATGAAAAACGAATCTTTTTATCGATAATAATTTCCATAGGAGTTGAATGACTTTTTCAAAATCATTACTCTTAACAAACGCTAAGAAAGGGAAAAAGAAAGAAAATATGAAAATTTTTTCAAAAATGTCCGTGAGTGCGTGCGTGCGTGAGGGTTTTCCCTTATTATTATTATTATCATCGTGATCGTTATTTTTCATTTTTTTTTCTTGCGTTTTCTTTTTTTTTTTTGTTGATAAAAAAATTTTTTTTTTTTTTTTTAGTTTTTCTTTTGTTACCGTTCGAGAGTCCTTTTTTATTTAAGTCTTATGCCACGAAAAAAAGGAAAAAAATCTCTGAAAAATATGGTATAAAGGTCATTAAAAAATTTCGTTACGACAGAGTTTTTAATATTAATAATAATAATAATAAAATGTTTCATCGTCAACCCTTTTTTATGACGTCATTAATCAAAAAAAAAAAAAATTCAAAATCGAAATATCTTTATAAATTTTTTTTTTTTTTTTTTTAACATTTGACACATTTTTAATTTTTTTTTTTTGCCCGTATGAAAAACGACGTGGAAGGGGAGAGAGAAAAAAACTAATAATAATAATAATAATCATTTTTTTTTTTTTTTTTGAAATGAAAAGATTTCAACTTTTTATTTTTTTTGATTTGACGTCATTAATTTTTTTTAATTAATTTTTTTTATTTTTACGTTCGTTTTTTTTTAATAGGATTCCGATTTTGGCGCGAAAAAATTTTCCCGATACTTAAATTTAAAATTTATTTAAAAAGAAAAATTTTTTTTCGATTCTCTGTTTTACTTTTCTCTTTTTTTTTCTTTCCTCGATTATTTTCCGTTAAAATTTAAAAAGAAAAAATCGATTATCGAATTTTCTTTGATCTGCAAAAACCGAAAAAAAAATCAATAATAATAATAATAATAATAATAATAATAATAATAATAATATTAATATTAATATTAATAATAATAATAATAATAATAATAATAGTAATAATAATAATTTTTTTGAATCGTGAAATTTTTTCTTCCCTCTAAATCGTAACGAAATTTATTTTTAAAAAAATATAATTATTTTGTTATAATTTGAAAAATATATATATATATTATTAAAAATTTAAAAATTTTTGGCGCGAAATTCAAAAATCTAAATTAGAAAAAAAAAAAATAGAAAGAGAGAGAAGAAAAAAAAAAAAATTTATTTTGTCGTGATTTCGTCATTATAAATTTTCCCTTGACAAATTTTAATATTTCGTAATTGTTATTATTATTATTATTATTATTATTATTATTATTATTATTATTATTATTGGAATTTTGTAGTATAATTATGCATTTATATACATATATGTTCAGATTATATTACATTATTTTCCGGAAAATTTATACAAAAATTTATATCATTAAAATAGTTTTGACTATAAAATTAATACATTCGATGTAATCCCATTAAAAAATTTAATATTAATAATGAGACTTCGGTTGCCGCCATTAAATTTTTTTTCCTGTCTTAATTTTCTCTCTCTCTCTTCTCTCTTTCTTTCTCTCTCTTTCTCTCTTTTTCTTTCTTTCTCTTTCTTTCTTTTTCTCTTTTCCCTGCATCATTATTTCTTACTATATTTCTGTAACTTTTTTTTCCCCCTCTCATTTCTCTCATTCTCTCTGTTTCTCTTTATCTTTCTTTCTCTCATTCTCTTTTTTATCTCTCTCTCTTCTTTTTCTAGTTTTTTTTTTTTTTTTTTTAATTTTTATTTCAATGCTCGTGTATTTGAAAAAAAACATTTCTGTTTTGTTTCTGTCACGACTTGACAAACGAGAAAGTGAAAAAGAAAAAAAAAAAAATTAAATCGTCCGAGTAATAATAGAAAAATAATAATAATAATAATAATAATAATAATTTAGTTTTATCCACTTTTCGTTTCCCCCCCTCTCTCTCTCTCATCTACTACTTCTTAATTAATAAATACATTTAGCTCTAATTTTTTTTTTTTTCTTAGAAAACTTCAATCGATAATTCAATTTTCTTTTGCAAAAAAAAAAAGTTTTTGTTTCGTAATAAAAACAATTTCGTGTGTTTGTCGTAACAAACGTAATGAATAACGAATCGTTTGTTTATTTATTAATAATATTTTAAAAATATTGTTTGTTTATTTCATCGATTGCGTTTACGTTTTTTATTATTATTATTTTTCATTTAACCAAAAAAAAAAAAAAATATAACGAAAAATTTTTTTTTTCCAGCTCCATTTTTTTCTCCAGTCTATGCAACGAAAAAACGTTGACAAAAAACAATTATTATTATTATTATTATTATCGTTAATATTTTTTTTCCTTGTCAGAAAATTTTTTTCATTCTTCTTTCATCCATTCATTGGAATATTAAACAAAAAAAAAACAAAACAAAACAAAACGAAACACTTGGAAAAATTTTTTTAATTTTTCTAATGAAAGTTTACGAAGAAAATGAAATAATGATAATGATAATAAAACGTTTGCGAGTTTCATTTATCGACCGTTTCTTTCCGGAAAAACGATCTGAACTATATTATTATTTTCCCAACACTTTATCTATCCAAATTATAAATGAAAATAAAAGAAAATAATCTGAGTTAATAACGTAAGTTGTCACTTAAAAAATTCAAAACTTTATTATTATTATTATTATTATCATCATTCTCATCGTCATCATCATCATCATCATCATCATCATCGTTAAAAGTCGAGAGAAAGAAAAGTTTTGTTAAAACAATCCCGTAATTATATAAAGAAAACAAATAAAAAATAAAGCGGACATTTTTAAATTGAAAACAAACGGGAAAACCTCAAAAAACGAATAATAATAATATTAATAATAATAATAATAAATTTTTCCGAAAAAAAAACTTTTAAAAACTTTTTGCCGTATCAATTTTAATTTTAATAATAATAATAATAATAATAACGGGAAAACTTTTTTTTAACAAACGTGTAACATATTCGAATAATGTAACGTCGGATAAATATGTTTGTTGGCATTTTGTTTAACCTCGGGTAAACATTCTAGAATTTTCTATAACAAAATGGCGTTTGTTCGTAATCGAATACGAACGAAGACTGACTGTTTGTATAAAACAAGAAAAAAAGTTTTTTAAACGTTTAAATTACGTAATTTTAATAATTTCAGGGTAAAAAAAAAGAAACAGAAAGAGAGGGGAAGGGTGGATGTGGGGATGGAGGAAAAAAGAGGAAAAAAAATGAGAAAAAATTTTAATAAAAAAAAAAAAATTCAATGAATGAATGAATAAAAATAGAAAATTAATTTTTTTTTCTCTCTCTCTACAGACAACACTGAGACACGAAGAAAAAAGAAAAGAATAATAATAATAATAATAATAATAATTAAAAATTCCTGGAATATTCCAGAATAATCAATTATTAATTAAGAAAAAAAAAAAAAAATTTTGTCGTGTTTTTTTTTTAAATTTTTTTTTTTTTCATCTTTTTTTTTATTTTATTATTATTATTAATTGTCGCTTTGAGTAATTTTTTGTTTTTTAAATTTTTTGCAGACGACGGCGTGTAGCAGTAGTGATAATAATAATAATAAACCGGAAATAGTGCATTTTAATTTCCGGTAAATGAAGAATTATAATAATAATAATAAATAAGGATTTGTAATTTACGAGACGATTTGAAAACCGAAATGAAGATTTTCAATTCGACATTTTCGAGTCGAGTGTGACGTCATTGAAAATTTTCCCAGGTGTGAAAATTCCAGGTGATTTGCATTAATTAATTAATTTTTTTTTTTTTTTTTTTTAACTCGAAAGTTTTGCGGTTTTTTTTTTTTTTTTTTAAATTTATTTATCGCGAGAATTTTTATTCTGTCGTTATCACCCCAAACGAAATTAGCGGCGACGGCAAATTTTTACGCGGGAAAATCGGACAAGAGGTTTTGAGGGCGGAGCCGGAAGCGGGAGGAAAAGGGGCGTGGCGTAAAGTTTTGAAAAAGTTACCGAAAAACCTTTAAAAAAAAAAAAATTTGTCGTTATTATTACACGTATAAAACCAAACGATGCGAAAAGAGTCAATAAAAATAAAAATGAAAAATTATTAATAATAATAATAATAATAATAATGATGATAATAATGATAATGATAATGATAATAGAATCGGGAACATTTAATGTTTTTGCCTGAAACAAAATTTTTTGTGAAAATTGGTTGGTTGATTTAAGTTTATTATTATCAAAAGACGTCTCTCCAGCATAACGTTTATATCTGGAAAAAAAAATTTTCTTTATTTTAAATCATCATCATCATCATCATCACTTTCATTTTTTTCTTTCTTTTCTCTTTTCTCTTTTTTTTTTCTCCAGGTAAAAAAAATAAATATTCTTTTTAAAGAAAGTTAAGAGAGAGAGAGAGAGAGAGAGAGAGATATAAGCTAAAAGTTCAAGGGATGATTCAATAATTTTACGTCGTATATATAAAAATTTATGGTTTGAACGTTCGAATGAAAAACGCTGGAGAAAAAAAAAGAAAAAACAAGAGAATATTAAATTAATCTGGAG